CACCATGCATCTCTATGTGTCAGATGGCTGCAGCTGCATTATGAAAGAGCAAAGGCACAGCATTTTTCTATTGAGGACAGTTTTCTTAGATACTGATATTGGTGTTGGCAAGTCTCTAAGGTGAAATAAGGAGATCTTCAGAACAACTTTGGCTTTTACTAAAGGTTTGAATGCTTGCAAGCATAGAAGTGATGAAACCTCAAGTGTATTTTATGTCATGGTCAGTGACAGTGGCTTGCTAGAGAGTGAAGGATCGGGTGGAAAATGCCAGTTTGCCATAGAAAGGCTGGAAAGAATGTGGATAACTTTTAACATGCACAAGAAATCGTTGTGAGGTGTATCTTTCAGAAATTTGTGGGGCAGATGGAACTCACAAACTGAAGGACTGAAGGGGCCATAAAGAAATATGCTCTTATCCCTGGAAGAAGATATGACAGGAAATGCCTTTAGTGCTTAAGGTTAACACAGTGGGATGGAGCTGACTTTTGCACTCCTTTTCTCTCTTAAAATACAGTGTCCAAAACAAGTCAAGGATGCAACAGCTTTATCGTACTTTACTCGTTACAACCAACCTGTAGCTGGTCTGCCTTGCACTGAGGCTGGAATCATAGGATCATTAAGGTTGGAAAAGACCTCCAATGTCATTGAGTCCAACCTTTGGACACCACCATGTCAACTAAATCATGGCACTAAGTGCCACGTCCAGTTGTTTCTTGAATGCTTCCAGAGGTGATGACTCCACCACTTCCCTGGGCAGCCCAGTGCAGTGCTTAACACCTTTCAGGGCAGGGAACAGAGCTGCCTGCCTTGCTGTGTATGGGATGACACTTGCTATAGGACATACCACGTGTTCACAAATAAGTAATTTTCCTGGACTGATGTTTGCTGCTTTCAGTGAGCACCGTGGCTTTTGCCAGTCCTCGTCAATGATTGCTCTCTAGTTGGTAAGGCTGTGCAGTTGATTCTGTTCAGGTATTTCTTCAGCTTGTGTTTGCACATGCCATAATAACTGTAACAATAATAACAACAACAACACTACTACTTTTGCTACTACTAATTTCTTTTTATGCCCTTTACATCTGGTTCTTATGAGTATTAAAGACAAAATTCTGGTTTGGGGTTTTTTTTTTATACTTCCTGCTAGCTTCATACTGATGAGATATCAAGGATTTTAATGGAAAAGAACACCAGTGGGAATTTTTGCCTCAAAACCGTTTTCTTCTCCATCTGATAATGAAAGGAATAATCTGTTCTTTAGTCTTTGCTTGGCAGACTTGGAAATTGAAAAGGAAAATGGTTGTACTGTAATAGATTTACTCTAATGATGTGTGTGGTCAGTGGTTTGTGGACATTTAAACAAAGGTGGATATGCTGTGAGCCAAAATGCAGAAAGCATTGCTTGTAACTGGGAACTCAGGGAGAAGTGCCCTAAAAATCCATCTTTTGCTGGGTTTGGCTCATACAGGTACCATCCCTGCAATTATGCAAATATTCATATCTAAGTTAATAAATGGCCAGCTCCAGATGGATCAATATTTAATGGATAACATGTTCATGATATTTAATCATGGAGAAAGCTCTTTTTTCTCAACAAGATGTTGCCTTTTTAATGTCAAATATCTTTTTGGGAGTCAGATATTCACGGTGTCTCACCAGCTCCTGTATCCCTGTTGTGTTTTTATCAGGGGAGCATGATGCCATGAAATGTTAGACATCTGTCTTCACCAAGAGCTTCAGTGATGCTAGTCTTGTGAAATGCTTGTATCTCAACTAGGGAAAAAAAAGATCATTTGTTTTAAAAGAAACAAAAAATAGCATCACGAGTAGGTGTAGATGTTTCTGTGTAAGGCACAGTACAGGAAAGACTCTAAGGCAGAGTCTTTGTTTATTCTCTCTCCTGTGAACTCCTTGTTGTGATGTCTAAGCACCTTATAAATATTTATGGCTGTGTCCTCAAAAGAAAATGAAATTTATATAATGGAGTTGCAAAGTGGTGTTAAAAGAAGCAACTTGCCAAAGGTTCCTCCACAGTTAAACTGTGACAGAACTGGGACAGTAAATCAGACCAGTACATCCCATTTTGGTAAATAAGGTATCATCCCATCCTTATTAGTTACTTTTGCCTTGGCTGCTTCCAGAGTAATTCACTGCTTTTCAAAGAAAATGAAATTTATATAATGGAGTTGCAAAGTGGTGTTAAAAGAAGCAACTTGCCAAAGGTTCCTCCACAGTTAAACTGTGACAGAACTGGGACAGTAAATCAGACCAGTACATCCCATTTTGGTAAATAAGGTATCATCCCATCCTTATTAGTTACTTTTGCCTTGGCTGCTTCCAGAGTAATTCACTGCTTTTCAAAATGCAA